GTCTCAATGTTGGAACATTGAGATTCGAGGGAAAACAAAACTAACTATTCCCCGAGGGAACAGACATTAAGCGTTTTATTATATAGCGAGAAACAAAAATCAACATTCAACAACATTCATGCAACAATTGTATTTCGTGACAAAAACGCTATAGTGTAAACGAGTTTAAAATTAAAAGAACCTACTTAAACGATTTCTGCAGCACATCCTGTTGCCTGTTTTGTATTTTTCTTCTCTTTTACATTCTTTATTTGAACACAAACTTGCAAAATCGTAGTTTGTAATTATGCTAGTTGTGCCGCCATTTTGTTTATTTATGTACGTAGCCGGTTGGGGCGGGCAGCAATTTTTCACTTGTTGCCCGGCGGGTACATTGCATTTATCTGAAGTCGCGTGACCACAAATCAGCCAATCACGTTTGCTGTTCACCGTATCTATATAACAATAGTGTACACTTATGTCTGCTCCCGAGGGAAATTGTTTGTTTTGTTTTCCCGAGTCTCAATGTTTCCCGAGACGAAGTCGTGGGAAACATTGAGATTCGAGGGAAAACAAAACTATTTCCCGAGGGAACAGACATTAAGCGTTTTGTTATATAGCGAGGAACAAAAATCAACATTCAGCAACATTCATACAACAATTGTATTTCGTGACAAAAACTCTATAGTGTAAATGAGTTTAAAATTAAAAGAACCTATACTTTTTCAGCAGCATATCCTGTTGCATGTTGTGTATTTTTCTTCTCTTTTACATTCTTTTTTTGAACACAAACTTGGAAAGTCGTCGTTTGTAATTATGCTATTTGTGCCGCCATTTTGTTTATTTATGTACGTAGCCGGTCGTGGCGGGCAATTTTTCACTTGTTGCCCGGCGGGATACATTGCATTTGTCTGAAGTCACGTGACCACAAATCAGCCAATCATGTTTGGTGTTCACCCTAGCTATATAACAAATACAATTATTCGACGAGGCTGAGCAAAATATTGTGATTTGTCAGTGGCGAGGAGATCAATTAGGGACCGGTCATAAAGTAATTGCTAGGGTGGGCTGGAGTGATTTGGGATGGGCCATGGAAAATCTTTGGGCAGTTTCGATGGGCCGCCAAATTTTTTGTATGTCCACGGTTGGGCCACCAAACAAAAACCCATGCATGTCTACTTCAAAAAATAAAGATATTGATAATAAAAGTAAACAAAACTATATCCAAATTATCAAATGCAAATGATGCTATTGAAGCCAGTACTCTGTTTATACAACAACAAGAAGTGTTCGAATCATAGCAAATACAACCAACTGGAGAGCAGCTCAGTATCAATGGGTTGGTCAAACTTGGTGGAATTATTTATGTCAATACAGTGTCGTGTATATTTACAATGTTCATATCTGCAAGTTTTTTTATTATAAAAGTGTATTTTTCCAATTTAGATTGCGTGGGTCATGAAAATTTTTTTGTAAGATTAGATGGGCTTTGAAATTTTTATCTACATCCTAAGATGGGTCACCGAACTTATTCGCAAAATTTGTGATTTACCTCCAGCCCACCCTAGCAGTTACTTTATGACCAGTCCCTTATTTGGCGAGGAGATCGATAATTTGTGGTCGTCATAAAGTTCAACAAATCTGTACAATCACTTCTAGCAAAGATACCAAGTCGTCTTATGAAAACTCAGCAAAGCGAACCATGTTTATTTTTGTGTTTATTTGAATTTCTTTTCAAAAATCTTAAATGCACTTGCGTAAATCGATATTTTGCAATTGAGTTGATTTCAAAAGTGCGCATGCTCACATATTATTTATGCCAGTTATTTGCAGCTGACGTAATATTCTCACCAGGTTGTAGAGAAAATTAGCCGTACTGTATACAATCTATCTGTGCTGGTATAAATATTTCTCCTTTCATTTAGATCCAGACGATTGATCGTGGTTTTCAATTATTCTTTCTTCTATTCTTATTTCGTTTGTTAAATCTAGCTTTAAAATTAAGGAATGTGAATGTATGTGTAATCAGCGGTTCATATAATTATATAGCAAGAAATATCCGAAATCAGTTTCAAAGTTGCATCGCATGATGGATGTGCGTCTTGTTGTATATTGGATGTTGCACAACGAATCTCAGATGTAGTTTTACCAAATTTTCAGTGAAGAGAACGAGTAGAAAAATGATGATTATATTAAGAAAAATACGTTTGGTCTTGTTCTGCCCCATATTTTCAGAGAGGAAAGCCAGACAAATGCTGATTAAAACTTTTCTTGTTTTGCCTGACACAAAAATACTGATTTCCCGTGAAATCGACGCATAAACTTGCGGCTTTGAAATTTGGGTGTAAAACGATTATCTCCAATTTTTGGCACAACGTTGGCTGTGTTATAACCTGTTCCATGTTGGTCGATTGCTGCACTCTTTTTGGTTATTCGTTGTTCTATAGCGATTTTAATTTGAATTGTTATGATATAGTTTACACAGCCGTTACGACAAGTGCACACGGCAGATCAGGAGAACCATTAAATAGCAGAAAGCGCCCGCACGCGTGTTTGTCATTTTACTTATGAAGATTCGCTATGTCACATATAAAAAAATGAAAACTGTACACTTTTGGTTTTATAGAATACTTGTGTTTCTGTTTAGTCGTGAAACTACACGCCTCTAAGAATAGTTGCGAATGTTATACCTCAAATTCAAAGTCTCCAATCAAAGACAAGCTTGTGCCACGTGGGCATAAAATTTATCATCGAATCCCGCCTTACGTCATCGTTTTTGACTTAAGCGGGTTGACTTGACTCATGACGATTTGGTCGTGTCACCCGGGAGACATGATTCGCGTAAACCACGCGCGGCGATTATACTTTAAAAAATCTCGGTTTTTTGTGAACATTTTGAAACAAATTTCGAAAAATGTTGTTATCAATATTCCAAACTATATGTGATTCGACAGAAAGGCGACGATACTTAATCCAAAAATAAAACGTCGAAGGCAAGTCTCAACTTTTACATGTTTAACTTGGAGGCTTTTAATTTTCGGAACAATAGATATTTCATAGACCCTCTGCTCGAGGGATTCGGCGAAATATTACCCTCGAAGATGATATTTCCTTACTAACTTTGGGTAATATTTCTACGAATCCCCATCGCTCCAGGTCTATCAATGATAAATGTCCGATCTACCAAACGCACGTCTATCGTATGATGTAGCTTTAAACACTGATATAGGTGTATCCACATGTAATCTGTGAATTATAGTAAGAAGGTACAGTATATCAGACACTTATTTACTCCGAGGCTGTGACGGATTTGACAGAATTAGCAAACTCCTTTCAAGCTGAGCTCATATGAATCAGCAAATGAGAGAACAAATGAGAAAGCAATACATAAATTTCACCCGTTGAATTACGTCTGATTTTCTGAATTTATCCACAATTTCCTGAGCTTCTTATGGAAATTTGAGAATTCAGATAATTTGATGTTCATATCTTTCACTGTACTCTGTCCTGGTCCTTGTCCTTTGTATTTGTGAAAGAGATGTAATTATCGAACAAAGTGGTTCAAAACAAATAATCAAAAATATATTTTACAGTATTATGTTAAACGCAGTTTGTTTTTTTGCCCGACCTCTTAGTGCAAGTTCCCTATTACTTGCACACAATTCTCATAGCTTGCAAACAAGATGTGTTCGCATGGCTTGTTACGTGCTGTTAACAAGCCTGGGAAAAGTTGTTATCATCTTGTAACTAGGTTGATGAGGCCAACAGATTGGTAACAAGTTGTTGCAACATGTCTGATATCGTCTGCTTGCACGTACAGTAACAAGTAACAAGTTGATGACAACACGCTTGTAGCAACTTGTTCACGAACAGCCTGTAATAGTCTTGTTGGACATCATCAACTTTCTGAGAAGGTCATCAAAACTTGTTCTAGGCTTCTCGAAACAACTGGAATCGCGAACACATGAGATGGGCTTGACAACAATTACGTTGTTACAACTTGTTTTCAAGTCTGTAACAACTTGTGTGTTTTCACGCGTCTGTATTCCTAAACCAGCCTTTTATTAAATAAGTAATATATTCTAACTAAATGATATACTTACATTTGGTCAATATTCTGTAACGTACTCCGTTTTAGATACATAATTGTGTAAAATTTGCTTAGTGAAAATTAATTAAAATACTTAACTCTGATGTTCAAATATTTTCAGTATTGTTTTGTTTCATAAGCGTCCTTGGCGGGATCCTAGATCTTCGATTTTCAAGTTCTAACGGGTCTCATATTAAAAACTTTGGATAGGGAGATCATTCATATAGTAACCCTTCATTGTTCATCCTGGGCCTTTATAAAGTCTAAATTAGGGAGGGGGAGGTATGTCCCTATGTTGACCTATCCTTGTATTGCACGTTTTACTTTGCAACGTACGCTAAAGTATTTATTCGACTACAATGAATACATAAACTTTGTGCTTATTACCACATTTATTTTAAGTTTGTATGTTCTAAATGTTTCTGAAGTCGCAGAGTAAAATAAAACAAGAATATATACGAGATATAATTAGTTCAATGTGTGAACATGTCGAATGTTATTTATTGCAAAGTTCTGTTAAAAATTCAACGATATAGTAACAACGATAAGACTTGGCATCACCAAAGTCTACATGTTTTGCTATGATCTTTAATATTTTCATAGTATTTGCATCATACTGGTAATATAGCAGGCCTGATTTCGCAGTCACATGCATAAATAGTTTAATTTTTAATCTTCAAATCCGCAGATAAATTTCTAAATTGTTATCCCTTAGATAGTTAAGTATACTGTAACCTTTGGTAACCAGCTTAGTGTTTTTATTCAAACAAAATTTGCCAATCAGCAACAGTCCAATTTGCCAATACACAACACATGATCACTTCTAGATTCCCTTTGTAGCCTGACAGAACAATTATTGCAATATTATTGGAAATTGGACTTTTTCTCAATTGTCAGTGACAAATTTGCCGATAACTTGCTGATACTATGCAATTATCGATGATTTTTAACTACTAGCATGCTTTTAGGAAGTGGTACTTCTTTTCAAGGTTTAGCTGAATGTGGATACTTCTTTCATCAGTTCAAAGATCATTTTTGTAAAGAGCGTTTAATTAGTCATGCTTTTACGAGCTACGTCTTGGAAACTATTTTTTGTAGAAGGTGTGAAGAGGAGGGGAAAGGGGCAGACCGACGAATCGAGCATGACAGCACAGAGTACATATACAGATGAAAATGAAAAGCGTCCAATGGGGGTGAATGCCTCTCGTAAGCCCACTGCCTGACAAGTATGCTATGATCAAGACAATATAAAACTGTATATACCCTCAATTGTTGTGAGAGGGTGGACAGTAATGATGATATAGTGACGAACGATATTATAAAGTAGAAAAAACTCTACTTGGTCAAACCATAGCTTATCAAAGGGAAGATGGCTGTGAAACTTATTAGAATAACAATATTATACATTTAATGTCTGCTCCCGAGGGCAGGGGTGGGGAACATATTTTATTTGGGGGGGGGGCTAAATTTTAAAACCGTTTACCGTAGTTTTTGACTAAGTGGAAACACAAACCGCAAACGGCATAGCGTGTAGTGATTTCTCCTACCTTTGAAAAATTGTTCAAAATCTACAAATGCAATTATGCATAGATCAATTAATCTCATGATGAATTAATGAGCAATCGAAGCAAATTATCGACCAATTATAAACCGCAAAAAGCTTGAAAAGATCACAATACGATCTGCGCAATCAGCACATAAGCAATGTTAAATTTTGTCTGACTGGACATAAAACATAATATTAAGCATTTTAATGACTTTAAAATGTTAACCAAACTAGAAATACAATTGTATTCCACGATCCATACTCTCGCTTTGACACAAAGAGCAGAATTCAAACACAAGAATAATACAATGCTTGCATCAGGAGTTCTTATTTTATGTTCTATTCGAAATCGTGGGCTAGATTCAATGTATGATTCCAGCTATAGCCTAAATTTTGATCTGGACAAGAAGAACGAAAACCATTACCATAGCTGGAAAGAGCATCTTAAAATGAGTAAAATTGCAAAGGTTGGTTGTGAATTGATGTAAAATGAGTTCGCAAATTTTGTATACACCGTATTTGCATTACACGCAGGAAAAATATTTACCGCGCGTAATACAAATATATACAAAATTTGCGAACTTCACAGAGCTATATTTTCTTAAATTTAACAACCTTTAGCAACCAAACTTTGCAGTTTTATTCATTCTAAGACGCTCTTTCTAGCTGTGGTGTTGGATTTCGTTCTTCTTGCTTTGATCAAAATTTTGTCTATAACTGGAATCACCCATTAGGAGAGTCTGAAACTTCTTCACTTAACTTTTATTTGTCCCATTTCCTAAATAACCACAAAGCCCAATACTCTGACTTTGTAGTATTTACTGTATAATCAAAGATATATACTCAGGGTGAAAAAAATCAATTTACATTCACTTGATCACAAAGTAGGATATTTTCTTTTGCATTTGAGGCAGTGAGCAGTAATTTAACGACTTCATAGTTTGTATAAATGGTCTCGCATTCTGGCATTCTTCATGTATTTTGGGGGGCTAAACTCCCTCCCCCCACTTTTACTTCTGATGGGGGGGGGGGCTAAAGCCCACCTATCCCCCCTGTTCCGCCGCCACTGCCCGAGGGAAATAGTTAGTTTTGTTTTCCCGAGTATCTCGATGTCTTCCGAGACGACGTCGAGGGAAACATTGAGATTCGGGTCAAACATTGAGATTCGAACAAAAATCAACATTCAACAACATTCATAGAACAATTATATTTCGTGACAAAAACTCTATATAGAGTAAACGAGTTTAAAATTAAAAGAACGTGCTTAAAGGCAGGGCATTTTTTGACAATATAACTT